CAAACTTTACTTTTATTCATAGCTGTGGCACTGCTGGACTGAGTCAGTGAGCACTCAGTCGCTACCAGCGCACAGTTCAGACTACGTCGTACGCTGGGGAATTCCCAGCGGGGAGTCGTATTCGATCGCTGGGTAAGGGGGTCGTATTTGGCAGAGCACGCCGTACGTTGGGGAATCCCCAGCGAAGGATTTCCCAACCATGACTTTCGAATCGTCGAAAGACGATTTCGCAGTTTTTCAGTTTTTCCCGTTTCACATGTGCTACATATCCCAGTCCCGCCCCCCGCTCGACAGTAAGATTTCGGCGAAAAGTAGGAAATTTTCAAAAAATAGGAAATTTGGAAAGTCGGGAAAGTGGTAGGTAGGATGGAGAAGGGGGTCTATTTTCAGAGAGTTCCAGCGGCAGTACGTGCTCTGGTCTCGATAGGAACCGAGAACCCCGTTAGAACTGAAGCAGAGACAAGATCATGACAGGGCGATATCGGATGGAGAGCCAGGCAGGATAACCCTTCTGGATGCTCGAGCAGTAGACAAGATGGGGAAATACCTCTGGACCCTCCCAGCGAGAGTTGGGAAAAGTTGCTTGGTTGAGAGAATTTCCATATTCCTGTCTACCACTCCTAACCCAACTACCTCTTACAAAGGTGGAGGATGGGTAATGATATACCTGGGTTGCTATTTGACACCCTCTTGAGAGAAATATAGCACTCTTACCTGTAAAGCTTGGCATTTTTCTTGTTGCGCGTTTCCTTTACCATACTGTCGAGTATGTCTGCACAGTTACCGATTGACTCCTTCAACGAACAAAGGTGTAATTCACAGTTCTACCCCCTGAACTATCCTTTACCCGAGTCCAAGCAACTCATTACCTGCACGTATTCATTTGTAAGAGGATTGGGAACATATGGAGGTTGTACTGGATAGTCTAAAGGATTATGGATTTATAGCGCTAACTCTTGATTGTATGAAATTTTCCACGTACCTGGGCTAGGAGGGCCTGGCGGAGTTGCGGGACCTCGGTAGGGACCTGTAAATGTAACCACTCAAATGAAGTATATCTTTGGCGGTATACTGTATGGTTTGTTTTGACCTGGAGGAGCCGGTGGCTGCGGGCCAGGATTGTATGGTGGTGGTGGTGGCGGCGGCGGTGGCGGCGGTGGTGGTGGCAGTGGGCCAGGGTTGTACGGTGGTGGTGGCGGTGGCGGCGGCTGTGGTCCAGGGTTGTACGGTGGTGGACGAGTTGCCGGCGGCTGATACTGAAACTTTACTTCATGGCCGTGAGTTACAATTAAAAATAGATACAGTCAACTACCTGAGCATGTATACAAGAGAGAAGAATAACAGTAAACTCTAGTCCAAGCAGCATTCGGTACAACGAAGTTCTCTTGTGACCCCGGTGTTTAAATACACAAAATTTGAAATTCACAGAAAAAAATCTAGTCAGATCATCAGATGAAGCAATATCAAAACAGTTTCATCACGAGACAGCTGTTGTGTCGAATACCAGTTTAGTTTTTGGTTTTTCAAACAAATTTTCGACATTTCCATGA